CTCCCCCCACCCCCAGCCATGCTGCTGCTCAAGAAACAGACCGAGGACATCAGCAGCGTCTATGAGATCCGGGAGAAGCTGGGCTCGTGAGTGTGTGTGAGTGTGTGTGTGTGTGTGAGTGTGTGCACGGGGGAAGGGGGTTAGGGTTAGGGGGGCCTCCCCATCTGGCTCCTTCAGTTCGGGGGGCCTTTCAGCCTACCCACCTCTGCTCCCCCTCTCTCCCCTCCTCCCCCGTCTCCCCCTCCCTTTCTGCCTCCCACCCTCTTTGCGGCAGGGGCGCCTTCTCCGAGGTGGTGCTGGCCCAGGAGCGGGGCTCCACGCACCTTGTCGCCCTCAAGTGCATCCCCAAGAAGGCCCTCCGTGGCAAGGAGGCTCTGGTGGAGAATGAGATCGCTGTGCTCCGAAGGTGCGGCCCGTGGGGGCGACCTGGGCGGAGGGGCAGGACGATGCTTTCCTGGAGCTGCTGTGGTCCTGGCCGGCGTGGGCAGGGAATGCCCACAGAAGCTGCTTCTTGCTGTTGCAGAGTCAGCCACCCCAACATCGTGGCCCTGGAGGACGTCCACGAGAGCCCTTCCCACCTCTACCTGGCCATGGAACTGTGAGGAGGGCTGGGCGGGCTTCGGGCGGCAGCTGGCCAGGCGTGGGGTGAGGCGCCTGGGTCAGCTGAGCTCCCTGGATCCCCCCAGGGTGACGGGGGGCGAGCTGTTTGACCGCATCATGGAGCGTGGCTCCTACACGGAGAAGGATGCCAGTCAGTTGGTGGGCCAGGTCCTAGGCGCTGTCTCCTACCTGCACAGTCTGGGCATCGTGCACCGGGACCTCAAGGTGCCTGGCCGGCCCTGCCCCTGCCCTGCCCCCTGCCCGCCCAGCCCTGTGTGTGTCTCACGGAAGAGCTGGGGGTGCCGGTCCCCACGGCGCACCCTGTCCCAGGTGGGCCGATACCAGGGCTCATCTTGCCTTCCTCGGGTGCTGTGTCACAGCCTGAAAATCTGCTCTATGCCACACCGTTTGAGGACTCCAAGATCATGGTCTCCGACTTTGGCCTCTCCAAAATCCAGGCTGGCAACATGCTCGGCACTGCCTGTGGGACCCCAGGATACGTGGGTGAGTGAGCGAGGGCACCCGGGGCTACTGGGCGCGCTGTGCGGCCCTCGGGCAGCTGTGGTGACAGGACAGAGGCCATTATGCCTGGTGACATCCCCAGGGCTGAGCTGGGTGGAACTGACCACGGTGGGGGGGGGTGTGCTCATCTCAGCCCCAGAGCTCTTGGAGCAGAAGCCCTACGGGAAGGCGGTGGACGTGTGGGCCCTGGGTGTCATCTCCTACATCCTGTGAGTGACTGCTGGGAGACCCCTCTCCGCCTGCCTGCCCCTGCTGGCTTGGGGAGGGTCGGACAGCTAGCTGACTCCTCTGTGGGCGCCAGGCTTTGCGGGTACCCCCCCTTCTACGACGAGAGCGACCCCGAACTATTCAGCCAGATCCTGAGGGCCAGCTATGAGTTCGACTCGCCCTTCTGGGATGATATCTCAGAGTCAGGTAAGCTCAAGGCTTACCCCGCCCGGGGTGGGGATGGTAGGGTGGGGAGGGGCTGGGACCCAGGGCCCTGACTGGCCTCCCTGCTCTAGCCAAAGACTTCATCCGGCACCTGCTGGAGCGGGACCCCCAGAAGAGGTTCACTTGCCAGCAGGCCTTGCAGCATCTTTGGTGAGTGGGACCCTGCCGAGTGATCCCAGGGCCAGAGCGGGGGCTGCTCCTTCGGAGATCCCCTCTCTGCTGACCCTCGGCCTCTCCCCAGGATCTCTGGGGATGCAGCTTTTGACAAGGACATCCTGGGCTCCGTCAGTGAGCAGATCCAGAAAAATTTCGCCCGCACCCACTGGAAGGTTGGTGTGGGCAGGGAGCTGGGTGGGCCCCGACATGGCCACCTGCCCCCACCCCCTAGCTGGACGGTTTGGCTTGAGCTGCCCTGGCCACTGTGGTCCTTGGCAGGCTTGTGGCTGGTCCGGGGCCTGCCGTGACGACCCCTCTCTTCCCACAGCGAGCGTTCAACGCCACCTCGTTCTTGCGCCACATCCGTAAGATGGGGCACAGCCCGGAGGGCGAGGAGACCTCTGTGCAAGGCATGGCCCGCCACACCCACCCGGGCCTCCTGTCCACACAGCCCCCCAAGTGGTGACGCCCAGTGTGTGCAGGTGGGGACCCTGCACCCCCGGGAATGGCGCTTTGGTGCTGGCCAGGGAAGGGTGGTGGGGGCTGGATGCAGCCAGCGGGAAGCCCCACAGTCCCCGAGGCCTGAGGGGGAGCAGGTGGGGCGGGCCTGGGGATGCCACTCCAGGAGCGAGAGGGGGGCATGGGGGACAGCGTCTGACTGCCCCCCCTCCCTGTGCTTCTCCCCGCTACCCAGCAGATGGCGGCGGCCAAGTGGCTTGTGGACTGACCCCATTCCTGTCCCTTGGACCCTTTCAGTCCCCCACCTCCACCCTGGGCCAGCCTCTGGCGGAGAGCTTGGAAGGTGTGGGCGTGGGGCATGGTGCTGGGGGAGCTCCAGGGGCCATCCTCCCTGCACGGCTGTTCTGTGCTTCGCTGAGCGTGGTGGTCCTGCTTGTGTTGTGGCCCTCCAGTCCCCGCCCCCCAGTGCTCCCCAAACCAATAAAGACTGACAGAGCAATGGGCCTGTGGTGAACTGTGGAGGGGTGAGGGGCAGGGATGGGGGAACTTGTCACCTGCCCGCCTGTTCGTCTCCTCTCGATGCCCACGTGACACCACCACACGGCCTCACCCACCGCAGCCCCAATCTCTGTGCCCTCCGCTGAAACCTCCCATCCCACCCCAAAGCACCAGGAAGAGACAGCCCGCAGCCAGCCCAGCAACCCGTGTGCCCAGAGGGGGCAGGCGGCCTCTTCTGTGCCCTGGCTCCCGGAGGTGGCGGGAGGCTGAACGGGGGCCCAAGGAGCGCGATCCCAGGCCCAGGGTGGGGTCCCAGGCCCAGAGGTGGTGCCCCAGGCTGGGGATGGCTTGCAGGTGTCTGCAAGGTGGTGGTTGCCTCCTCCTCCCCTTCCTTCTTCCCCCTCTCCAGGGCCTTGCAGACAGCGTTTCTAGTGCACCCCTGGCCATGTGGATGGCCGGAGCCCCAGCGTCAGCAAGTGGGCGGTGGGAGCCCATGGCCAGGAGAGGGCGCCCCAGGGCCTCAACCCCCTCTGCTAGGCCTTTGGAGCCTGAGCCCCAAGTCCGGCGGGCCTGGGCTGGGGAGGGGGCTCGTGATTATGGCTGCAGACGTGAAGAGCCCCGGCCTGCTGTCTGGCCCACATGACCCCAGCCCCTCCGCATGCCCCATCTGGCCGGCCCAGGGCTGCAGAGCCCCCTGCTGCGCCCCGAGCCTTTCCTTGCCCCTCTAGGCCTTTCTCCTGGGCCCGTCAGGGGAAGACTCTGAGGCCACTCCTATGCTCCAGCTGGAGAAGGTAGCACCCTCAGAGCTCCAGGCATGCTGGCCTCCTTTCCCTGTCTCCACCGCTGCCCTGCCGCCAGGCATGGCTCTGAGTCCAGGGAACCCCCCCCCCTGCCGCCAGGCACGGCTCTGAGTCCGGGGACTCCCCCATCCACCAGACACAGCTCTGAGCCCAGGGACTTCCCTTTGGTCAGAACCCTAGCGCAGGGCCTCCCCCTCCCGAGGGCTCCCTGCGTCCAGGCCTCTCCTTGCACTCTATGGGGCAGGGTGGGTGTTTGTCCCAGGGCTGGACCTTGGGTCAATCTGTCCAGCTCCCTGCCTACGCCAGGGAAGGGGTGGAAGGGGTCAGTAAGTTGGCCTCCCAGATGGTGGGGATGCTGTCCCCTCCCCGCCCAGTCCCTCTTCTGATTGGAGAGCGTGATGAAGACCCCTCTCCTTGGGGAACCCCTTTGGGAGCCAAAGGGAGGTGGGTGAAGCCAAACAAGGCTGGCATCTGCCTCTGGGCTGGAGGCAGGAGGAGGGCAGCGTGCGAGCAGCCCCCTGCATGGGGAAGCTGAGGCTGGCTGTCCAGGTAGCACCTGATGCAGGGCGCAATCTGACCTCTGGCCAGAAGGGGGCACCATGGTCCCATCTTCAGACGTCTATTAGCCAGCCCGTTCCTTCAGCACCGGGGGCAGCCGTTCATACATTCTTCCCCTCCGCCACCCCCAATCCTGCCCCACCCTGCCCTGAGGATGTCCTCCCTTGCGGGAGAGGTCCTGCCCTACCTATCCAGGAGCAGGTAGAGGGGTCCTCCAAGTCAGGCAGAGGCGGCGCCCCTCCTTCGTCTCTCCAAGACCTACCTCCTGATGCGTGCAGCTTGGGAGAGGAAAGCTTTGGGGCGACTGGCCAGTGGGATGTGCCGCTCGGGAGAGGGAAAGTGACAGGTGTAGCCAAGGGCGGTGTGGGGGGAGTTGGAGAGGCAGCTGGGGTGGGGGGTGACAGCGTTTCCAGCTGAGGGGACAACAGGTGCTAAGGTGCTGCGGCTGGCTGCTGAAGGAGCAGGTGTTCTGTGCGCAAGGGGACACCGTGGGAGGAGTTTGAGAATATCCAGGGCGATACAAGGCAGGGGCTGCGAGTGGGGAGCAGGGTCAGCCCCTCCCGTGTGCACGGTCCCTCCCAGGGTGTCAGGGACGGGTCCATAGTTGAGAGGGAGCTCTTGGGGATGTCTCTAGAGGAAGCTGTCTCCCCTGTTCTGGGCCACACAGGGGCAGTCACACACCGTCTTGGAGCAAACCTGTGGGTGACAGGGTTCCAAGTTAGCCTGGGAGCAGGGAGCCCGAGGGCTGGCGCTGAGAGCTCCTGAGTAGACTGAGTAGCCTTGGTGGATTGGGGTGGGGAGTGAAGGGTGGACTATGGTGCCATTCTCTGAGAAGGGTCAACTGGGGTGGCAGTGGGTTTCAGGGGACACATGATGAGAATGGCTTTGGACATGGTGAGTTTGAGGTGGCTGGGGAGTCCCTGGGGGGTGCAAATGGTGAACATGCTTGGCTGCTAACCAAAAGGTTGGAAGTTTGAGTCCACCAGAGGCACTTGGAAGAAAGTCCTGCTGATCCACTTCTGAAAAATCAGCCATCGAAAACCCTGTGGATCACAGTTCTACTTTGACAATCATGGGGTCGCCATGAGTTGGAATCAACTCAATGGCAACTGGGTTTTTGGGGGACATGGAAGGAGAGAAAAAGTGACTTGTCCTTCACCCTGTTTTGCACATGTGAATGTGGATATGGCTTTATAGCTAATATTCGTGAAGGCTTATTCCTGCTAATCAAAAGGACACTGCTAGTGACTCTGTTGAGCACTTACCTGGTGCCAGGCCCTCTTTCAGGAGCTTTACCTGTATTAAGTCACACTTCGCCTTTGAGGTAGCTACTATCATGACCGTCATGCTCGTTTTACATACGGGGAAACTGAGGCATAGAGGGGCCACGTGGCCTCGTGGCAGAGTGAATTTCTTTTTATTGCTGGATCTGAGGATTGGTTTATTAGAGAACAGGATAAGCAGCTATAAAACAGAGATTCCCAAATGGAGTGGCTCCAATGAGAAAGGAGATATTCTCTCTCATGTAACAGCCACTCTGCTCCATGGAGTCATCTTAAGGACCCAGGCTTCTGCTCTATTGTTTCTCTGCCATCCAAGGATGGTGTCCATGTTTGCCTGGCCAAGCTACAGGAGGGGAAGAGGAAGTAGAGGGCAACCAAATGTCTTAGGCCGGGTTCTTTAGAGAAGCCAAACCAGTGAAGCGTGTGTGTGTGTGTGTGTGTGTGTGTGTGTGTGTGTGTGTGGAGAGAGAGAGAGAGATTTATCTCAAGGAAATGACTCATGTAGTCATAGAGGTCAGCAAGCCCCAAGTCCGTGGGTCAGGCGTCAGGCTGGAGGCTTCTCCTAACTCATGTAGCTTCAGGGGCTGATGAATCCCAAGACTGGCAGGTAAGATGCTACCTCAAGTCTCAAAAACCAGAGGTCAGATGACAACGAGCTGGATGCAGGATCCAGAGTGACAGTCTTGCTGGAATATCCATTTATATACTAGAGGTAGGCCACACCCCCAAGGAAACTCTCTTTGAACTGATTGGCTGCTCATGGCAGATGTCATCATGGAGTTGATCACATCATTACGTATGTCCCAGTCACACATTCTGCCCCGGAGGTTTATTGGCAGGCATTTGAGCCACTTTAGTACATTCTGGCGTCGTGGCGGATACCGGTGCAACTGCCTAAAAAACAAGGAAGTTGTTCTGTGTCACATTTGACTGTTGAGAGCCATTCATACGCAGGGATGCTTCCTGTAGGAGTGATTGTGTGAACCTCTTGCGTCTTTTGGCTTCTGTACAGTAAGATAATGCTTCCAAGTATGTTTACTATTTCCTTTGTGTTATTGGGAAGATATGGTTACTGGCATTCGGAAATATTCAAGTAAATGAGTCTTTGGGATGAAAACAGTTTGTGATGCACCTCCTGGGCCATGGGACTGATATGTCCCACGAGTGTGATGTGCTTCATGGAACATGGTACTGATATGGCCCATTCAAAGTCAAACTGATAACAATTATGTGCAGTAACTGCATTGTTTATTTAGTATTTCGTCTGTGTTTTTGGAAAGTTGAGTAAGATATTTTATGGCTCAAGTGTAACCAGGAAGTGTGCTGCGCCATGGGACAGATATGTCCTGCGTGTGTGATGCGCTTCATGGAACACGGGCCTGATATGTCCCACTTGCAATTGGCACCCCATTTTTTCAAATAATAAAAAACTACCAACTAACAATGAAAGAGTTAAGGAAATGATGTAGAAGTTGCACAAATCATTCAACTCACATTTCGTTGGTGAGAACTTAGGCACGTGGCCACTTAACTGTAAGGGAGGCTGAGAAATAAAGTTTCCAGCTGGGAAGCCATATGCCCTATTAATCTTTGGGAGGGGAGTTCTATTTCTAAAAGGGGAAAGGGGGAGAGTGGATACTGGGGACACTTAACCATCTCTTCCTCCAGAAATCCGATGAAATATATGCGAGACTTCACTCTCTTTGTCCTTCTGTGATGCATTTTGGATAATTTATTTAGCTGCTTTCTTCCAGTTCACTCATTCTCCCTTCAGCTATGTTTAATATGCCATTTAACCCATATCTTGAATTTCTAATTTTAATTACCATATTTTCAATTTATAGACATTATATTTGGTCTCTTTTCAA